CTCCTCTGCCGCGGAGGGAGCGCGCAACGGGGCGCGGGCAGTCGGCTCCTGCGGGTTGCCTGGACCCCCGAGCCCGGCACCCCTTTTCCTTATTGTCTCCTGCGCGAAGTTCAGGCTTCGGGGTCCGCCCCCTTTGCCGAAGCCCCTTTAATCTAGGGCAGCGGGCAGCCTGACCAGTTTCTCAATAGGCTCGGGAGGCGTGCTTTCCGGAAGGGGGCCCGGGGCAGCCCGCTGGGGCAAGCCTGAGCGTGCCAAGCGGGCCTCCTGCACACAGAGACATCCTCGTGCAATGGCCTGCCTTAGGCGCTGGCGTCCTGACCTCAGAAACAGATTCGTAAGTGACGGCGGCATTCGCCTGGTGCCCGGTGATACTGTTCCTCCGTGGCCCCCTCCCTTGCTCTCTCCGGAGAAATCCCCGCATTTCCCCTGCATATGGAAAAATAGGGCTGGATTCCAGGGTCTGCTGACTTGGAAGTAAGCCCCTCTGAAGCTCCAGTAGGGAAAATCTGCCTCGAAGAGATGCAAGCTTGCATCTCCAGGTGGCAATGAGGTGCCTGGGTCTCCAGGAAGAAGCTGTCCGCCCCACCAGGGAAACCAGAGCTGGGAATCAACACCACAGCAAGGCTAAAATCACTTTTATTGAGGGGTGCTCTGATACCAGAATCGTGCAAGCCTGATTGTGCTGCACCTTCTTCCCCTTCTTATATGCCTGTGAATTAGGGAGGCATCTGTCTGAGTCACTTCCACGTGTTATCCCTTTGCGCTGGACCAGTGTTTCTCAACCTTAGCAGCTTTAAGAGGAGTGGACTTCAACTCCCAGAATTCCTCAGCCAGCATGCTGGCTGGGGGAATTCTGGGAGTTGAAGTCCACCCGTCTTAAAGTGGCCAAGGTTGAAAAGCACCGGTATAGAGGGACCAAAGTTGCAAATATTCTGGATGTCCAGTTAGATGGCAGCCAAGTGTGAAAGCTTTCAGTATCTCTTTGCTACCAACAAATGGTTAACCTACTACTAGTACTACTAGTAATCTTTCAACTTTATTGATTAGTCTTACAACCATATCAACAAGAATAAGAACCATCAGCAAAGGTAAAACAAATAACTAATACACAAAATCCATGATACAGTAAAATATTATAATAATAAAATGGGATAGTACTAAATATAATACTACTATAAAATAATAATATATCGCCAGTATCATAAATCCAGATTCATATAAGACCATCACCCCTACATGATACTCCAATCTGTTCTATATATCAGGCTGTCACCTGGGCTGCCTTGTTCACAAACCTGGCAGTCCTACTCACAGTAAAGATATTCGTGAAATGGTTAACCTGCATTTTTGCATTCCCAATCTGGTCACCCACAATGTATCTGACCTGAGCTGGTTTTGTAGGCAAGGAACTTCCTGATGGTGAAAGAGGAATTGATAAGAACAAGCTGTCACAAATATATTACAGCTAAACATACTTCCTCCTTCCTCTATTTTCAAGTTAAAGGCCACACTTCTCTCCTAGAATGTGCAGTCTCAAAAATCCATCTGAGCCTGCTGCCAGATTTCACACCCATCCTCTGCCTCCAGGCCCTTAACTGTTAGTCCGTTTTTTCCATTTGACTCAGCAGTAGACTCACAGATCCTACTGGGCTAAATTAGAGGATACATAACAAAGTAGAATTAGCTCATCTGATTGTGATTCCTATCTGGTTTACCCTGCAAGGCCAGCATCAATCTTGCAAGTCTCAAAGTACAATTTCCCCCATCTCCTTTACAGCCAGAGAAACTAGAGAGGGTCCCTTCTGAGCCTCTTGCCCTTCCCATTATCCAGCTGTGGGCTATGCTGTCTCTTATCTAACCATTCCCTAGGCAATGTCTTTTGGCCCAGCCTCCCAAGGTCTTTCCCATGTACCATCACATGCTGTCAGCTAACAGCTTTTGCATATCTTTGCCAACTTTCTCTCTCTCTCTCTTCCTCTACAACCAGCTGCCGCAGTGTCTTTTCTTCTCTCTGGAAGCTTGCTGGCATCATGGCCCCTTCACTAGCTTCACTGTGATCCTCTAAATCCACATGTAGCCCCGTGTATAAGGCTGAAATGGTTAGTTTTGTTCTTGCTTAGCACAGGGAGAGACCACTCAGCTTCCCCATCTTCTGCAGGACTGTTGGGTGAAGGGGTGGTTGTGGCTGAAACCAACTCTTTTGGGGAGAGTTTCAGGGTGAGAGCAGGAGAAGGAAACAAATCTCTTCCCCATTGGGCTAAACAAGTGGAAATTAGCCTGAAAAAAGACTGTTGAGAGGAATTCAGAGTGGAAATGGAAGTGATTAGTCCTTTGGGGGTGGGGGGAAGCAACAGCTTTCTGACTTTCTTTGCATTTCCCAGCTGAGTGGGAAAATAATTGTTTCATAGTTGATAAACTCATTGGGACTCATATTTCCAGCACACGGAGGAATCAGGGAGCCAGAATTGCCTGGGGAACGGTTGACTCAGTGGGTTGTGTCATCTGAACCTTTGCATACAAAGTACCCAACAATATTTTGACTGGCGCACTGTGTGAACCCAGCCGTATGCTTGCTTTCT